CCGTTTAAAGTGAATGGCCATCGTCTCAAGCTCTACCTGGGAGATGAGGTCGAACGTGCGGAGTTGGTAGTGGAACTCGCGGACCCTTAGTTCCGCAATTGGCGTCCAGCTAAAAGACGATAAAGAAGCGCTTGTGGGGAGGCAACCCCACCACGGTTTGCATTTCTATCCTTTTTCCTTTTCAATTTTTTTCGTTTTCGAGTCTTTGAGTCTGTCTGGAGTCTTTCTGGAATGTTTCTCGTGCCCCAGATGGTCTATTTTTGTCTATGGTAGTGTCCATTTTCGAGCCGGGGCACACTTGGGTTTGGTTGTTCGAAATTGCAGCTTAAAAACTGGAGAAAAGGGCCCTCGGCAGTGAAATTACGGGCATGGGGGGCCAAATTACGGTCGTAATTTTCATGCCCCCTGCCCGTAATTAAGCCAGAAGAGGGAAAAAGGCTCGGCAGTAGAATTACGGGTAGGATCGGACCAATTACGGTCGTAATTCTGCCCGTAATTATAACAGAGGGCATGTTGCTCTCGGTAGTCGAATTACGGGCTGCCAGGGGGTAATTACGGTCGTAATTGTGCCCGTAATTACCCCCGGAAATTTAAAAATCCGCTCTGTCGAGAATCTCCCTCTCTCTCCTCATTTTTCGGGTCAATCTCTCTCTCTTTTCTCACCGTAAAATCGCCCCACCTTCTTCTCCGGTGGTTTTCCGGCCATAACTCACTCATCGGAGCTCCAAATTGAAATCCGAGACCACTCCCGTGCTCCTCTCGTTGGCGTCCCCAAGTCTATACTAGTGGGTTCGAGTTTGGCGGTGGTTTGGGTCGCCGAAAAACCGCGACCCTTCGGTGCTCTTCCGGCCCGATCTCTCTCCTCCGACCTCCAATCGAGAAACCACGACCACCACCGAGTTCCTGGCATCCGGGCCCTAATTCCCCAAAGTTTTGGGTCATTTTGGCGGTGGGGAATTCGCCAGCGACGAAACTCCGGCGAGCCTCCCGGCGAGTTTTCCGGCGACTGTCGTGGAGTCACCCTCTTCCCTCACCTTCCCTGTGATACCCTCTTGTGCCTCCAGGTGTGCTTCTCTCTTTTTCCTTGTGAATTGTGGAGGATTAGTATTATGGGTTTTTAGTGAGGGAATTCGGGGGTTGGGTCGTGTTTGAACGAATTCGGTAGGCCTCCGGTATTAAATGCTTCGATGTTACTATTTTGGTTGGCCTACCGTGCAACATATGTGTGTGATTGTCCCGCTTGGAGCCTCATTTGATGTCCGAGTTTATTATCCGAGGGCTCCAAGTACGTTTTATCTTTGTTGGTTGGTGATTGGTCTTGAATGTCTTTCCTCCCCTGGGGCCTAGTCCACTGTCCGAATTTTTTGATTCGAGGGCCCCGGGTGTGGTTGCTTGTGAACTCACCATTGAAAAAATTCCATGTATGTTGTTGTGTTTTTGCTGCTTTTTGGCTGCAGGACCATGAAAACTTACCTGAACATGCTCGACGCCGACAAGAGGAAGACTTTGCGCGACATCCGACGCCGCAAAGTCGTTCAGCACCATTACCTCGATTGGAGGGTTTTCGAAGAGCTTGGTGCTCGCGAGGCAATGGAGGCTGCCATCCGCGCTTACTCTTGGCGCCGCCTCCTCTGCCTCGCTGAGCCGATCTATCAGGAGCTCCTCTGGGAGTTCTACTCCTCCTTCGAGCATTTCCGAACCCACGCGGGCGCGCACAGCAACGCCATCCAGTTCCGACTCGGCGGAGAGTTTCACTCCCTCAGCTATGATGACTTCGGTCGGGCACTGGGGCTCCTGCCACCATTCGCCTGCCACCTGGCCATCGAACAGAACGACTCACCCATCTTTCGGGACCAGCAATTCTTCGAGAGGATCTGCCTCCCGGAGTTCGCAGGCACCGTGTTCACACCAGGCTACATGACTCACTCCTACTGTCACTCTAGAAAATGGCCAAGTGTAAACACTTCCTAAAGCGTAGTATAGCGGGTTGGGTTTTAATGTCAACCCGGGTCCTAGATGTGATGACTACTCGGTGAAGTCTTGTTATTTAGCAGTGAACTTTTAGTGCAACTCAAGCAAACAAAAACACAAAGCAAGTAAACGGTTGTTGTCAAGTCAAGAGAGGTCACCCGGATATGGTTCCCCCTAGACTGTAGTTAAGTCGGATTGCAATTTACCAAGTTCAGTTTTCATGAAAGTTATACTGCGGAAGGTTCTTAATTAGCCTGAAGTCTCGACTAAAGGTCTCCAGACCTTCTCAATCTGAGTCTCTAGCGGGCGACTAACCTCCACCGGAGTAAACAGATTGAGGCCCTAACGAACCAAATCTCCACTACCGAATTGAATTCGGTACAGAATAGCGAATTGGCTCCTCGACTAAAGTCACCAATTCGCCACCTTCGATTAAGGGTACTCTATCAACCTAGGCAGATATTCTCATTCTAGGTCAAAGCAGAAACAACAGGAATTTGGTCAGGATTCAAGTCATTCAATCATTCAAACCTCAATCGAATATAATCAATTCACAACTCTGTACTTGGGTTCATACAATCAGACCTAGCATACAAATCTAGGGTTCCCCATACCCAGATGAATGGGGGAACTACTCCATAGAGAAAGAAGCAAAAGCAGATTCAGACGCGGAAATCATACTGTGAAGATGGATTTCTGCTCCTGGACGTTTAATCGCACTTCTCCAAGCTCAAGTCGGGCTCCAATGGTGATGAAGATCGATCTATGGCGCTTGGGAACTCTGGTTCGTCGCTCTCTCTCTAGGTATCGCTTTCTCTCTCAAAAACTCGGAACCCCCTGAAAATTGGCCTTCTTTTCCTTTTATCAGCTGCCATCGCGATACCCGGTCGAAATACCCGGTCGGGTATTTAGGGGTTCGACCGGGTATTTCCCAAACCGCGCCGTTTCAACTAAGGGGAAATTCCCCGGTCTGTCCTCATAATCCCCGACCGGGGATTTTAGGCATTTTCCCGGGCCCCCTTCTGCTTCTCACGGACGCCCGAAGTGAAAAATACCCGGTCAAGGCCAGACAATACCCGGTCGGGTATTCCTGCTTCTGGCCGGGTATTTTGGTCCAACAGCCTCCTTCGTCCCAACTTCGCTCCTTTCGACCCGGAACTCGTTCCCCCGCCTCGATTCCAACGCCGGGACCTGAAATGTGACATAAACACATACCCTAGCGTGAAATCGGCTTAAAACACGAGATTCCTCACTACAAACGGCTTCAGAATGGGGTGAAAACATGTGTAATTATTGGTCTATCAAACTCCCCCACACTTAACCGTTTGCTTGTCCCTAAGCAAACCTAACTCAAACCAATGCAGCTCTCCAGATCTCTATAGCGACAAACAACCCCGATCGTAGGTAGAGGATTTTCTAAATCATTTAGCAACTTACGAGGTCAACCGACGCACAAGTCATCTCATAGCTTCTTCGGCGAGAGCACTAGTCCCGACTCGGCATCATGGCAAACAGTGAACAGAGGACAAATGAATCGTGGATGAAGGGACTCTCAAAAACAAAAGATCATGGACTCACATTAATTCAAGGTGCTCGATTTTCGTTTTGAACATGGTTGGAACCCTTTTCTTTCTTCTTTTTGCTTGTTTTTCTGTTTTTCTCTTTTTTCCACGGGTTCCAACCTGTTTCTGCAGAAAACGGGGGCTCCCACCTAGCAAAGCTTTTGCGGGAGCCCGGCTCTTACCGACCATGCCAGGAGCGGGTGTCTCGAGCCTCGTGCGGGGGAAAGACATGTAAGGGGGCTGGAGGTAGTAGGTGGAAATTGGGAACGGATTCCCGTCTCCCCTTACACACTTTTCGCCCTATTCGCACGGGAGACGTTATTTTAAAGCACATTTTCGAGCACCTGTTATTGTCAAAACATGATACAAGAGTCCATGACAGGCAGAGAGTCCACAACACCACACAATTCAAGGGTCCTAAGATCACTAATTCACTCAATCAACCAACACAATATGAAGAAGAAATGAGACTTCTTAAATGAATCAACATCCTCCATAGTGCTACACTACCTCCCTAGGTTGCAAATCACTACAGAGACTGTCAATTCAAAGCATACTGAGCAGGCAATTGCAAGGAACACGCACTTGGAGTCCTCAAATTTAAAAATTTGGACAGTGGACTAGACAGTGGACTAGGCTACAAGCACACAAACAGAGCTAATGCAGTCAAAAGATAAACATCCCCCACACTTAAGATCGACATTGCCCTCAATGGAGAAGAGGGAAGGAAAGGGGAACGATGTTACCGGTATGCACGGACTGCAGGAGACTGGAAATGGACCAGTCGGGAACACAGCACAGCTAAAAGGAAACAGAAGAGCTCAAACACAATATGTTAGGTCCAATGTCAGCCCAATAAGACATCATCCAAAACAAAAGAAAGCAACCCAAAAACAAACCAAATCGCAATCCGACTCGAAACAAAACAAATAGATGAAAACCATGGTGGGGTTGCCTCCCCACAAGCGCTTCTTTACCGTCTTTTAGCTGGACGCCCATGGTGGATACTCAGCGGGGTGCAGGAACAGGTACCTCCAAGAGCGGATCCACATCGCTCTTGAGATACAGCTTCAGGTGGTGACCGTGCACCCGACGGTTGCAACCACCAGCAGAGGTCAGCTCGACCTGGCAATCCGCCAAGATGCAGGCGAGTGAGTACTCGGATGGCCAGGGTGG